GAAGGAGGAGGAGAAGGAGAAGGAGGAGAAGGAGTAGGAGTAGGAGTAGGAGTAGGAGTAGAAGAAGGAGAAGGAGAAGGAGAAGAAAAAGGAAAAAGAGAAGGAGATCAAAGGAGAAGGAGAAACAAACAATGATGACAATTGTTTTTCTTTGAAAAATGCCGCTGTCTCTCAAATGTCATTACTTGCCGACGCACATCGTTTCAAAGGTCCTCAAATGTAACATTAAAGATCAGAGCACTAAAAGCTTTCATTATTCATTAAATAAAGTGTACAATCTAAGCTTAAGTGTTTGTCTACTAAAAGCAATCGAGGGGATATGACCGATAGCTACAATGCGGCTTTGTTCAAAGCATATGGCTTAGAAGCATTAGAATCAACGCAAAAGGATATTTAAAAGCGCAATCGATCACGAAAGTACTGAAAAAGCAGTATAGATACAGCAGTTTTCGTATGACTGTGAAAAGCTCACGGCAAGTGACACAACAAGGCATACGTCAGATCAATCACATTGCTCGAGAATTCACTCTCCATCCAATCAAATGCCCGGAAAACGGAATAAATATGGCGCGGACAAGGTCACGCCAAGATCTAGACATTGCCAGACCAATCACATTGCGCGTTCAAAAAATCAGCGAATTAAGATTCTAGAAAACATGACGGTCACGTCACGGCACGCTAACGACAGCTTTCCACAGTCATGCGAAAACTGCTTTATGTTTACTGAACCCTTTTCAAATAAAGGACCAAACCCAACGCCCTAATTTGACAATCTCATTACCATTTCTAACTTAGTGACTGTGACTTTGATTAGGCTATTTCATTTCACTGCTCGACTAAACTAAAAAACATTTCTTTTTGATATATAAAATGGGTATACTAATATATATAAATGGGTATTTCCAGACTACTTGCCAATTACTTTAATAGTATCTCTTTCTGTTTTATACTTAAGCTAAATTAAAAGCAAAAGCTTTTGGAACGGAAAGGATATAGATTAACATACATAGATAGAACTAAAAAAATATTATAAAGAGTCTTGAGAAGTTTGAAATTCAAATTAAAAATGACGCTAAAGTAGCAAGGTGCGATTGTTTTTGTATAGTCACCTGCACAGTTCCCGACGCCGACTTGAAAGGCAGCCGTGCCTTTGCATCGAAGCGAGACAAACATGAGCAATGATAGAGACCTTTTTWAACACCTCGAGCAATTATTCACGTCTCTATGATTGCAAGCTCACCATTCGTCTCGCGTCGATGCAAAGGCACGGCTACCTTGAGATGGCGCTGGGAACTGTGAAAGGGCTTATTGAAATACGCCTAAGGGTATATGGCTCAAATAGAAAATGCCTCTTTTATCTACCGTTCAAAGTGTTTTCACTTGATACAGCACGCCCCCACCACAATGCCATCTCTTGAGTTTATTTTCTTGAAATTAGAAGTGCATTTTGAATATCGAATCTTAACAAAAGAAACCTTATCAAAACAGATGCTGGTTGACGATCGGATGAAAGCCTCGAATACCGGAAAAATGAGAAATTGTGGAGGGAGTCATAAAATGATAATGGAAATTTAGAACCAGGCATAAAACTTGATAAAGTTGATAACAAAAAATAGCAATACAACTGCAAAAAAAATTATTATTATAAAAATGAAAATAACGAATATATATGAACTTGATAAATGATATCAAAGTTAAAATAGGAATGAAACGATTTGCTGATAATGAAAGCAAAATAAAAAAGTTGTAATACCACAAGCAGTGAAATAGAAACCCTAAGAAAATCAAGGAATGAATTTTTTTTWAAAAGTTCGCGCATTAGACCCCAGGCGTCGAGGAAATCGAAATTGTTGCGCGTGAGAACTCTCGAACAACTGTATCACCAAGAGTTCCTTTGTGCATTTAATTAGATTCAACTCAATAAATAATATTACGATATATTGGAATATACCTTAGAATAATTGCTGTTATTCCGCCACCTATCGAAGCATTGATCGTCATGACGGCTGCCCTGTGGGTGAGAGAAGGATGAAGAATATTTCATACTCGTACTCTGGATATTAAAGACAGACAGACAACTTTATTTAAACACGGTAAAAAACATCAGCTATGTTATGAATATAATTTAGTTAAAATTTGAACTGTTTAACAGGTTCACCATGTGGGAAAGAAAGAAAGAAAGAAAGAAAGAAAGAAAGAAAGAAAGAAAGAAAGA